CTCCTCTCTGCTCCTGGCCCTCTACTCAGCCTGCCTAGGCTGGCTGCGCTCCTCAGGTCCAGGCCTCCTTCTCTGCTCACTCAGTTGGGGCCAGCTCCCCACTCCTGGGGCCTCATTTATGACCCGTGCAGGCTCAACGACACATTAGAGCTGCAGTGTGGGCCCCTGAGCAGCATGCACTCCCCACTCCCAGCGGTTCCCCCTTCACTGTCTCACAAGCTCAGTGTTCAAGGCTGAGCCCAGTGGCCTCCCTGCTGTCCTCCCACACAACCTGCCCCTCCCTGCGCTGCCTGTTCTGTGTCTCAGTGAATGTCATCACCAACCCCTCAAGTTGCTGACACCAGACACCACTGACAGGCCATCTATAGTGTTTCCTCCTCTTTGGCCCCTCACAACCGTACAATCACCAAATCCTATGAATTCTACCCGTATTTCCTGAATCTCTCCAGCTCCATCTCTCTGCCTCCACTGCCATCATCTGAGCCCAAGCCACCACGCTCTTACCTGGATGTTTGCCACGACTCTGCAGCTCTTCCCGCGGCATCCACATCCACTCCTCTTTCAATCCATTCTCATCATGGCAGCCAGAGTGATCATAAAAGAATGTTTTGTTTTTTTCACAATTTTGTGCAGGACAAAAGCTTTCCAGGTAATATCCTAATATGTGATACATTTAAGAACCATGGGCCCAGACACCTGGGCCATCCTGCAGTTCCCTGAAAGGTACAAAGCTCTTCTGTCTCTGGCCCTGTTGCTTACACCTTCTCCTCTTCTCCCAGCTTCTTCCCATGCTTCCAGTCCCAATTTAGGTGTTATTGCTTCAGGGGTAATTTAACAAAGATTATCCCACCTAAATGTCTATCAATTCCCCCGCTATACACATGCTTAACATCTCTTACTTCTGGTAAAATTATTTGTGCCCATGCAGTGTGGAACCATACTGGAACAAAACAAAAAATCAGTAACACTGATGCTGTTTTTATATAAAAATATTGATATATTATTTATCATAGATTTCTGCATTGATTTTGATTTTTTTAATATTGCATTAAAATATTATCTTGATAGCTGTTTTTGGAGCTGCCTTAAATTGTACAACCAAGGCAAGTGCCTCAGTCCCCAAACCCTCAGTCCCCAAACCCTAGTCCACAATTTGTGGGACTATTTATTTATATTTTCCAACTCTTCGCTAAAAACTTCACTCTGTGCATCTATACTCCTCTTGAGTTCTCTGAACATTTTTGCCACCATTACTTTAAACTCTTTTTTAGATAAATTGTCTAACTCCTCATCACTTATTTCTCCTTCTGGGATTTTATCTTGTGCCTTGGCCTTGTGCCTGTCTATCTCTGTGTTTGTGGATTCCTTCCACAGGCTTTGGGATTGTTGTTTTCTTACTTCTGATACCTGCCTCTGGTCGACGAGGCTGGACTAGAGGCTTATGCAGGTTTCCTGGCAGGAAGAGCTGCTGCCTGCCCACTACTGGGTGAAGCTTGGTCCTGGATCTCTGGTAGGTAGGGCTGTGTCTAGAGGCCTTTGTGGCTCAGGAAGTCTGCTGATGGGTAGGGCTGTGTTCCCACTCTGTATGTTTGGCCTGAGGCTTCCCTACAGGCTGTTGGGTGGGACTGGGTCTTAGTGCTAAGGACCCAATCAAGATGTCAGCCTCTACGGAAGCTCATATAGCTGAACATATCCAGAATGTCCGCCACCAGGTTTAAGCCCCCTGGCTGAGCTGCAGCTGTGTCTCCCCCCAGTCCCCAGGATACCTTCCAAAACCAGCAAGCAGGTCTGGCCCAGGTTCCTATGAAATCACTGCCTCTGTCCTTGGACCTGGTGCACTTGAGGTTCTGTGTGCACTTCCCAACTGAATGAAGTCTCCGTTTCCCCCAGTCCCGTGAGGCTCCCAGAGCCAAGCCCCCTGGCCTTCAAAACCAGATGTCCTGAGGTGTCCTCCTCCCAATGCCGGAACCTTGAGCTGAGGAGCCTGAAGCGGGCCTCAGAACTCACTCCTGTGGGAAGGCCTCTGCCAGGTAACTCTTCTTCAGCTTGTGGGTCGCCCACGGGGGGATGGGGCCCAATTATATCGCGAGCACGCCCCCTCCTACTGTC